AGAGTTGTGATACTTGGGCCGAATTCTCAAAGTGAATTGTATGACCTACAAGTTTTAATTGGTCATCTTTATCAAATATAAAAAAGTAGAGGATCACACTTCCTTATATTTTACATACGTAACCAATCAAAACTTGTAGGTTAGGCAATTCACTTTAAGTAATCGGTATGAGAATCATTTTCCATATAACAATATTAGAAATACAAAATTTATAATAAAGTAGAACAGATCTTTAGGACAAATTTATAACATGAATCATACTAGTAATTTATATATAAATTAAGGATATATAAAACACATGTAATGAAATACTCCCTCAGTCTAAAAAAAAAATGTCATGCTTTTCTTTTTGGTATGTTCCAAAATAATTGTCCATTTTCCTTTTTCATACAATATATTTTACATCTTTCCATATATGTCATTGGAGTTTAAAATTTCAAACTTGAATATAAGGACAAATTAGTAACTTTTCAGGAAGACAAGGCATGTCCCACATGTCCCCTTAAAAATTTTTACTCCCCAAAAGTGACATTTAAATTGGAATAGAGAGAATACATAATAAGAATTAATTAATAGATAAAATACAATTTAAAAAAGAAATGGTTTGATGGTAAAGTCATACACATTGACTTAAAATTGATAATCCTATTATTCGTGCGAATATTGGTGAAACTAGTCAGTTTCAAGATACAACTCAATCAGCTCGGAGATGCGTCTCCTCCATGCACACGACCATAGAAAAACTATGTCCAAATCTATATGTATTTTGTTGCCCAAAAACACAATATGTAAAATACTTTCAGAGAAGAAATATGTGAATGAAAAACATGATTATATTTTTTGCTGAGGTATGTCCTAACTTCAAGGAGACCCCCTCACGTTTGCAAAATTTCAGTCAGACCCCTTACTTTTTCTGACACACATCAGTCTCCCCCCTCGGTCAACGGTCAAAGCTGGTCAGAGATATTTTTTTGCTGACATCAGCAAAAAATGAGATTTTAATGCCCAAATTACCCTTCAACGGTTATGTTTGGCTACATATTATCTATCTAACCAAACACTCCCCTCAAAACGCACACATACTCACTCTCTCTCTCTAAACTTTGTCTTTCTGCAAACCCATTTCTCTCTCTAACCTCGAAGGTTTAGGCAGTTAATATAACATCTTTTGGAGTATGGAACATTATCAAGCACTAGTTCAGTGACACCCTTGAGATATATTTCAATCTTATAAAGATCCAAATTCCGGAGTTCCAAGAACTTCAAGTACTTGTGATTAGAAATAATCTTAATATAGTCTAATCCAATACAAGAACACAGGCTCAAATTCTCCATGAACTCACAGTTACATATGATTCTGAAAAGACTCTCAGGGGTTACTCGGACCGAGTTGAGTTTTAGAGTTGTCAGATTCACACAACCTTCAAAAGCCGCAGCAATGGAGTCGTCAACACTGAGTTGGTACTTGTTGAGTTGGAGGACACGGAGAGTTCCACACCGGAAGAGACTCAACGGCAAGATGGACGACTCGAGATACTGTACAGTTCCACCATCTATGCAAGTGAGTCGGAGCTCTTCTATGGATTTGTTCACTTTGAGGCGAATGATCAGTTTAACCAACGACGGCCAGTCCTCCGGGGAGTGAGAAATCCGGCAGACGGTGAGATTAGTCCTTTGAGACGACATGACGTGTTCAATGATCTGGAATGGAATTAAATCAAGTAGGTTCACATCTTCGACGTGGACGAGGTCGAAATCGAGGTGATGAAGGGACCTCCACAGGTGGCTCCACCGGCTAGACAAGATGGTGGTTGCTACGGCTTCTTTTGCCGGAAACAGTGAAATGATTGAACATAATTTTTAGTTGTTATACAAGGAAAACAATAAATAAATAAATAAAAAGGAAAAACAAAAATTCTCTTTTTTGTTTTCCATTTCTTTGTACGAAATCAGTAAATCAATCTTCTACTTTAGGACACCATTTCTTTGATTAGCATTGCACCACATCAGTCATAAAAAGTAAATATGGACGGTTATTGGCTATATATCAGTGAACCCCCCCTCTCTCTATATATATTGATGGATTTGTGCTAAACTAGTTTGTAAAAAAGGCAGAAGGTAGTCCAGCGGGAGAAAATGAGTGGTATTTCTTCTGCAAAAGAGGCAGAAAATATAGGAATGGCATAGAACCAAATAAAGTCACTAGATCTGGTTTTTGGAAGGCAACTAGGTTTGGCGCAATGGCTCAAGAGGGCTCAAATGTGTTCTTTAATGATGGATTGTCTCGGCCGTTACAAATCGACAGTGAAGATGAACTGCACCAGTGACGCAAGGATACGGTTGTGATGGAGGTGCTCGTAGACGACGAGCTTTCCGGCGAGCCAAACCCAGTTTTTTGTAACCCTAACTTTGCTAGTGAGATATGAGAGATGAGAGAGATAGACTGTTTGGTTCAAGAGATAAAGCTAACTCAGAGTTATAAAACATGTTTGGTTCAAGAGATTGACTGTTTGGTTAAGTGTATATACGAAAATGACAAAAGGGTAAATTAGTCATTTCATTTATTTATTTGTTTTTGTCAGTCGACAATGTCTGACACGGGGTCTGACTGAAATTTTGCAAACGTAGGGGAATCTCTTTCAAGTTAGGACATATCTCATGGGGTGTAACTGAAATTAACCCTTATATCTTTTCTTACCCACAACAAATGATACATGACATGTATATATAATGTTGAAGTTGTAACGGTCAAATTGTCAGATAGATATACTAATAATGATAAAAATTATGGTTGATATAATAAACACCATAAATTTACTTAACTTATATAATAATAATCATCATTATAAATATAATAAATAATTATATTAAATATTTTTTATAGTTTTATTAAAATATCTATAACAACAGGCACTAAAAAGAACGATGATGCCATCTTCTTTTAGATGCTAGATCTCTAAATTAGGATAGATAAATTAAGCCCACTCATTTATTACATCTCTTTCTCTCTATGCTCTCACCCACTTTTTCATAGAAACTCAAACTCAGTAAGCAAGATTTTAAATTCCTTGACACCCAAAACTTATAATTACTCGATCAAATATATACAATTATAAAATAGAATTTAATGAAATTAGAAATTACATACAGAAATTAAAACAAATAGTCAACCATTTTTTGGTTTCTGAAGTCAACCATTGTCTGGTTTTTGAAATATCCAAGAAGTGATATACCAAGTTCGGGAAGAAAATATTTTATTTTACTGTGTTCTTAATTAATTTGGTTTTCAGCCTGATTTCCTTTTTCATTTAATTTGGTTTTCAGCCTCTGATTTCCTTTCTTACTTTAGTCAATAAGTGGCATGCCACAAAATTATTTAGCACATTGTCTTATTGATAAATTCTTTGTTTTTTTTTATTCTATATGTTTAAATTGGTGATTTAAGTTTCTCTTTTTCTCTTATTATAATGAAATTATGAATATGCCGAGTATTTGAAGTTTTTCATCACATGTTTATTGGTACACTAAATACTTCTATATATATATAGAGAGAGAGAGAGTATTCTAAAATTCTCTCTAGAGACATGTTTTACATCAATAAATATACTCCTCTTATATTACTTTTTTGAAGAAAGTATTTGATATGAAATGAATTATAATATTTCATATTATTTTTATATTAATATTTTTAATTTTTATCTCAGTTTGTAATTAAGAATTATACGTAATTGATCTAGTACATAAACTTGATCACAATAATTGAGACTCTATGTTCTTAATTGTAAGTTATGGAAAATATAAGTATATAAATGTCATATTAATGTGCATATCATATGCACACAATCATTGCACTTTGTAACTTCATACCAGTTCACAACAAAAATGCATGATTTTTATTACAATACTAATTGTAAATACAAAAAGTTTGAAAATAATGTCACACATTATTTCTCTTCATATAAACAGCTAAGGATTTAATTGCATGTTATTGCTTAGATTTCTTTATAAAATGATTAAAATTCATATTTAACCATTCAAATATTAGAACAATTACTTTATAAATACTGTAATATTAAGAATCGGTCCAAATATTTCATTAGGACATATCGTTTAAACAATGAACAAAATCTATTTGGTGACGTGGCATTACAAGGCAAATACATACTGTACTGTACAATAGGTTTGAAGTCTGTACTACACGTGTTCCAAGATCTTTTTATGAACTTTACACGTATAAATGTGCAGCTAAAAAATAAAAAATTTGTGCAGCTACAAAGACTCGAACGGCATTCCTCCATGAAAAATTCCGAACATTGCCAACTAAGTTATTATACACTTGTGAAATAATATAATTTTAAAATAAATATACCCTTTCCGGGCTCAAGTTGGGCTTCGGGCTTTATATAATATCAACCCAAGCCTAATCCGAATTTAATTCAGACTCAGAATATCTAGCCCAAGCCCAGACCTAAAACATAAAAACACTGCCCAAGCCCTAAAAATTTCGGGCTGGGCTCGGGTAAATTCGGGCTAGCCCAGCCCGAGTTGCAGCCCTATTAAGAACATTCGGTAGCAAAAATGGAGGAATAAATGGCATTTGCCAGCAAATTCATTTATACACAATGTCTAATATATATATATATATATATATATATATATATATATATATATATTAGCAGTTTATTAAGGAAGACAATGTATTTTAAATTCCTGCGATAAAATGTACAGACAAAATCAACAATGTAAAATTGCAGTGTGATTTCATTATTATATGCTTCTTTATTTTTTTTGTTTCATCTGATCATTGTAAGATTATTAAATTTTATCATCTTAGAAAATACATGACATTATTATATCAATTTATAAGCAAATCTATATATAGCCATTAACTCAGATGGTATGATTTCTTTAAATTGTTGGACTGTACACACCTGTTGAATAAATCAATAATTATATTCTAGTTTAATTGCAATCAGGAGACCAGAATTCTAAAGCACAAGGAAAACCAACTCATCATAATCTTGATTTTGTTTTTGTGGAGCAATTCGTTCGAGCTTCTGAAATTTGTTTGACAATACAACATTTCAAGTGCCAACTTGAAATATGAAAACTTCTATACACAATACTATTCCAATGATGTATAAATTGAATACACATGAATTGAGCCTTGCATTACCACCACATCTAGTGATCAATACAGGTATTATCAACATTTCACACTAATATTGCCCCATATTATATACAAAATAATAAACATTAATACAGGGAAGACATGATCCGACTAGCCGATCAAAACAAGAAAGAATGCTGAGTATAAATAGCAACATGTTGGGAGTGTTGTTCAGAAAGGCCGTCCTAATTCATTCTCGTTCCAAAGATATCTGCATGGACCATTCGAACCAAAAAAACATTCAATCAGACCCAAAATATGAAGATATTTTACTTGCTAGTTATTTATGCAATTTTCCGCAGCCAAAAACATTGCTCGTAGAACAAAACCACACTAAGGGTCTGTTTGGCTAATGCTTTTGCTTCGTATTTTTTGCTCTTGCTAGTGTACTGTAGCAAAGCAAAAACACGAAATATCTTTGATAACGTTTGTTGTCATTTGAATAGTACCGAAACGTTTTCAAAATTGAGGCCAAAATCAGAAGCATCAAAATGATGATTTTGTTTGCTTCCGCACTGTAACAAAGCACTGTTCAAAATAATTTTTTTAAATATATATATATATATATATTTTTTTTTTTTTTTTTTTTTTTTTTGTCCTTTCTAAATTAACATTTTTAACTAGCCATTCAAAATTTTAAACTTGCTACACTTTTTACCAAACATGCTCTCATGTTTTTGCTTTAGAAAATCTTGTAACAAATTTATGTTACCAAACAAGCTTCGAAACAATGTTGAACACACTCTAAAGCAAAAACATTGCTTCTGCTTCGAGTCAAAGCAAAAGCACAAAGCAACTGTGGTTGCCAGACGGGCACTAAATGAATTGCTCCCAAAAGGGTATATCATGTAATGGGGTCGCAGCAGAAATATCATTAAATGATGGGACCACAGTGCAATGGCGACTAGAGTCGATCAAACAGTTGTTTTCCTTGAATTAGAAACTAATGTGGTCATTTGGTGCACAAACTAGAAGATCTATAAATGCTCCAGTAAGAAGAGTGAGACTAATTTGTATAGAAGGTAAGAGACAAAGACTGAAGTTAAGATGTGATGAAAAAATTAGAAATGAATAAAAAAAAAAAAAAAAAAAAAAAAAAAACTTAAAATATTATAGGAAAATGCGTTGTAATTAAAAAGAGTAGAAAAAGAGAATTCATACGGTTGAACCCTTCATATGGGATGATGATGATGATATGGTGAAAAAAACTACACTGGCGTGATGGATGGGCACACGAAATAATTCACTTCTCCTACATACTTTAATTTCTAGTCAATAATGGCGGAAGAGAAAGGGATTAACACTGGTGGTGTGCATTGAGAAAACACAAATAAATTCATATAAAGAAAGGTCCATATACTCGAGCATTGTCTATGTAGGCAAACAAAATGTAACAGGCAAAACCTCTAAATGCTGGCTATGCAGAGATAGGTCCCATACTTATGAGATACACAATGGATGATTAATTGGTAAAGATGTACTTGATTACCAAGAGAAGATCCTCATCTGTACCAAAGGATTTGCGGGCATCCTGTAGACACTTTGATGTGATGCACTCACGTTCCCTGCACAACACCAGCTTTAAAAGTCCATGCAAATGGAGTAAAGGATAGAATATTTCATTCAATTGGTTAGTGGTAAACTGTATATTTTCTATTTTTCACCCTTTTATGGTCGAATCTTGCATAAATTTGTTTATAGTTAGAAGTTAAGAAATTGTAGGTAAATCAACCAAATTTATTTCTAATTTTGCATCGAGGCAAATCATTTTTTTTTTTTGGAAGTTTAAGAGAGTTATTTACAAATAAAGTGATTTTCTATTAAATTTTATCAATATATATTTGCAACCTATATTTGTAAAACATATGTATGTTTTATTCTACCTCTTTATTATTTGATGATTTTAAGTATTTTTATTTCATTTTATTTTAACTCATTTATTTTATTTTTCTTTTCAACTTTTATTTGCATGCTTTTTAAACTAAATTTTGACGCATCTTGAATTTTTATATTTTTATATATTATAATGTTATAGTTAAGACTTAATTGTTATGAGTCCTACATGAGGTAGGTAATTATTGTATGTTTTTAAGTACAATAATTGGGATGACAATTCATTGTGAAACTTAGAAAGTTCAAAACTTTGAATTCTCGTATTGATGATGCATACTCTTTCACCTATTGACCTTTTGATCTTAACTTCTTAAGAATCTTTATCTCTTAATCCTTCTAATAAATCCGGTTAGCATGCAAGCTTGATGCTTTCTAACCTTTTTCCCAATTTTTCAAATTAGTCCATGAATTCTAGTATTTCTAAACCTTTCTCACAAAGCTACTAATTAGAATTCATAAGTATTCTCTCGGACCATGATCTAATAATTGCTTAACTCTTAGTTCATCACCATTATGCATTATCTGAATGCATTGAAAGATCAAAGCATTAGTGTTGATGACCCCAAAGACACTAATAAGAAGATGATAATGCTAACTTCTTCTAAGGCTCTAAAAATACGATGATAATGCTAACATCTTCTAAGGCACTAAAAAAACGATGATAATGCCAACTTCTTCTAGTTGGTAAAAGCTCTCAACATAAAGGAAATTAAGGAGGAGATAGAAAATGAATATAATACCTGGAGCTGGCTGGATCTCTAATCTCAAACTCATCTGTAATGGCATCATAGCCACATATTACAACATAATGACCTATTAAAAAAAATCAATTTAGTTGAAGAACAAGTACACGTGGCCATTAACACAAACACAAGGTCACAAGCCGCATATTCAAAGATGAGAACAATATACCCTCAGTGAATTTGTGAGGATCAGAAATAAATAATTTAGAGGATGTATCAAATATCTTTATCAATTGGAATATATTTCCTTTTTTGTGCTTTGTGCACACAAGTTGCTTAACGAGATCTCTAACCATTTAGTAGGCCTAATACCACTAACATATTTTTTAACTTTTCATAATAATCTTATGCGACAGTGACAAAGAAGTCACATTAAAGGTCAAAAAGACCCTCTGGAAGCTAATTTACAAGTTTGAAGACCAATCTTCAAGCAAGGCTCATCATCATTAAGTAGTCTTTGAAGACAACATGGGACTTAAGCCCGACATAAGGTTGAGAGTCTAACTAGGTACCACCTGCCCTTACACTGTGTCCATTGGTGATATAAATACCAATGAAAGGTGGTCATATCAGGAAATGTTTTTGAAAGGATTTTATATTTGCAAGATGTCAACTGATACATTGTGATATCAGTGCAGTCACAAATATTAGATCGAGATCAACTTCAAAAACTGATGAGCAAAGTTTTCAATATCTTGATTGAGTTCTGAATCCTACATTTATTTTATACTGTTTACCCTATGGCCACAACAGCTGTTTAAGGTAAGGTAGAAGCTCTTTAGTCCAACTCCAACAGCAAGCTCCAAGCCTCCAACTCCAATCTAAATCCAAAATGCTCTACCCTGTCCCCCCTTGCAGGCATCTCGCCCACACAAATATGTGCACCTACACGGTCTACGCAACTTTTTTTGACACTCATTACAGACAATAGATTGGTAATATAAGTTTCTCCATCACTGTCTGTTTCAAACTTTAATGATTGTGTACTCTTTAGATGGTTAGACCAAATAGGATATTTAGTTTGAAACAAGCATTGAACGTAGTTTTATTACTCTTGTTTACTAATAATTTTAGAATATATGCTTGAATGCAGTTTTAAATCCACAAATTCTAGAAATAATCATTTAGCTAGTAAATACTTTCATACACCCACATATGTGACTTTCTTGTTTTTCTTTTTCTTTTCTTTGTTTTTTTGCCCTCCTCATCATCAGATTATGAGTGTAAACCCTAAGGGGTTGGCTCAAGTGGGTAAGTCACTTTGCCCTGGTGCCTCAGGAAGCATCAAGTCTAAGGTTTAACTCCTCTTTGGTGCAAACAATTCCTTGGAGGGGGTTGTGTGAGTACCAACTAGGAAAAAAAAAAAAAAAATTATGTGTTCATGCAGTAGATTTTTACACTTATCTGAGAAATTTTTCTACAATGATATGTACTCAAAAATTTAAAACTCTATGTTTCAACTTTGACAATTGTTATGAAATGGAGGAACAGCTAACAGTAAGCCAAATATTCACTCCTTCCATGGGGCCTAAAACATTAAACATAAAATTAGCAGAGGATCCTGTGAAGAGGACATCAGATAAAGTTTCCATAGCATTTTGCAGAAACAAAAGCAGCTAGTGAAGTGGATAGGCAGTGAATTCCACATACTTCACGTGCCATTTTATTGAAAAAACCAGTGAACCAACCAATATTTGTTTGAACTATACTATCAGCAATTGGATTAACAGGAAATGGAGTTACTAATTCCACCCAATAGGATTGGGAGACCAATATTAATGAGTAGAGCTTAGTTTGATATTTTAAATAACACTTTTATTCAATAAATCTTGACTAGGCAAAGTGAGCAATCTACTTCATTACATACTTTATTGCATGTTTGAGGATGATAAAATTACTTTTGAAAACAAAGTAATATTGCCAATTGGTAAGGGCAAAAGAACAGATAAAAGCATCATCCCTCACCAGTGTAGCCCGAGCTGCCACCAGAGAAGTCTGAAACACAAACATCCCCTAGCCAAGATCGACTGTATCAAACAGACATTTAAAAGAGAGGAAAAAATAAAATAAAAAATAAAAAGAAAAGAAGAAGAAGGAAGAAACATTAAATTTAATACTAAAACATTTACACCAATAAAAAATAAAAAATCTGGAAGCAGGAGTATAATTTAGTTTTAACCCGCCAAAGAAAAAGCAGTATATGAAAATTAGTAATAAGAATTGAGAATGTGCCCAAAAAAAAAAAAAATCACTGCAAAGATGAAATCAAGAATATACCCCAATTTAAACTGGTCAACTAAAGCAATCGCAATATATTTGCCTGACAAGATCAATAAAGATATGTCTTCTCCACTGATTGACCTGCACTGCAGGAAAAAAGAAGAAGGTGAATTTTCTTTCCTCTGTCTTCTTTTTCTTTTTATTTTTTACGCAGAAAGCTGTGCATTCATCATCTCAGGGAATAAGAAAAATTAACATGTACATAAAATCTTATTTAGGGGCAGGAAGTAAGCAACAACTAAATAAGATCTTATTCAGACCCTCTGTTGGAATATATGAAGTTAAACAAGACACTTTCTCACATCTTTTCCTCGGAAAAAAGAAGAAAATAAAAAGAAGAAGAAAAGAGTGATAGATCTACAAATTATCCGAAATTGCCACCTACTGCTACCGGAATTATAACCAGCTTAAAATTTGCACAAATGGGGGACACTAATGTTATAATATTTAACCAAAAAGAACTGAAAATTAAACTATCCTCAAGAATCAACCTTAAATAATATATACAGTGAGATCGTGAGTCAGCTTTCGATCCTACATGCCAGACTAACCAAGCAGTTGACTGACAAAATTTTGTATGCCAATATAACTGCCTAACTAAGAATGATAATCAAGAGAGACATAATTCTGTTATTAATAGAATTATCAGATAAAAAAAGATTTTCTAAATTCCGTTCACAAAAGCTTCCCTGAAGGTAACAATTTACCGTGTTGGAAGATGAACTTGCATATTGCTTCAGGTATTCCCTTATATTTTTTATAAGATGTATATTAATTCTGTTCCAAGACACCAAGAACTCTAGATAATTTGAAGAATTGGAGAAAGTTGAGCTCGTTTTGTCTGTAGGCTCAAGAGAATTGATAAGCTTCGCTCTAACTGCAAAGCTGTTGTAGCACAGTTTATCAAAAAAATTTGTTATTCCACCCTTTAAAAAAAAAATAATTAAATTAAAAAAAATTGCACACCTCACAAAATCATTTCCTTTGTTTATTTTTTTTTTTTTGGTTTTGCTCACCATGATACCTAATTGTTTAGTGGTATCAAAGGACTATTAAATCTTCATTATTATTATTATTATTATTATTATTTTATAAGTAAATCTTCATTATTATTATTATTAGTATTATCTATAATCATTCTTGCATTCTGAATAGAGAAGATCTTGGCTGTGGAAGCACCACAGGTGTAAACATCATCTTACCTAATCACTTTTTATCTTGTATACTTGGTAGTGCTTTCACACACCCACACACACATCTACAACAGAAAATAACAATAAATTTTTTTTGGAAAATTTATCACTTAATAGAATTATTATTACACCACTTTGGAACAAAGTTTGGTCCTCCAATAATTATTTATCACCAGTGAATAGAGATTACAATTCATCCAATAATTTAACACTAGAGAATCAACCTTGTGCACAAAAAGCACTTCAGTTAAAAGGTGGCCGCATAGTGACTAGGCCCATTTTTGTTAAACATAATTGCAAAAGGACCATGCATATCCCCCCTATGTGTTTGCATTAGAGCTTAAACTGGAGTACAGGGAATATAAGTCCAAAATCAATCCAAGTTCCTTCCACTCTCTGTAAAAGATGAACTTAAAGATGCTAGATATGGCTGTTGTGTAATATTCACGGTTCCATTTCCATACTTTAGACTCAAAATAGAGTCAATTTTGTGGACCTGAACAATCTGAAAAAGCCATCTGCAACCTTGGTTCGTATTAGATATCTACTTAGTATTTCAAACATGTTTTCCTACTGGACCCATTCTATCTTTGAAGTTTCTCCTTGCTCATGGGCAATAACTCACTAATCAGATAATAGCTACAAAAGAAGCAGAGTGGAAATATAGTTAAATAGCTCTTTAGAAAAACAGCGGAAGCATATCTGTACAATTATTGGTATCTCCAACATTTTGATTACCAAATCCTACTCTGATTGGGGCTTCCAAGCTGATCTAAAGATGGTTTGGGAGAGAATTAACCCCAAAATCATCACAACAGGTGCATCTGTCATTATTTCCCACCTTTGGTACTTAACGTAGAAGGTCCTTTATGTGCCCTCCTTGAAGATCACTGTGCATTCTGGCATTACAAGGCAGACACAATTAACTACTTTGTTTATCATGAGTTTCAGGATTTACTCTGTTTGCAGTGCAAAGGCTCCTCCAAGCTAAAAAGAACTCAACAAAAAACTTTTACGCCAACAACCTGACTTCAGCTATAAATCCTTTTCCTCAATTTCAGCTCTACATGGGGCATCAACTCACATAAAATTAAAGGTCATCGTGTCTTTTTCGCCACATGACCCACATCATTTTAGCCTTTGTGTAATTTTTATAGGCATGATCTGTCATACTTTTTGTTTTATCTATTGGAAATAATACCATAACCACTGCTAAGATATAATTGGAGAAAAAAAAAAATAGCGCACGATCATGAAAAAAATCCAATTACTCTAATTGCAAGCCACACATATTACACTCAAGAAAATAGTTAACCAAGTCAGAGTCTTGTTTTCGCAACTCTGGTCACTTGGCAACTTAGTCTCCGTTTGATTCAAAATATATATATCTATCTATATATATATATATATATATATATATATTTTGTAAAACATTTTCATAGTATTTTCCTCAAGTACACAAATTTATACATAGCTTTCATCTTGAAATTAGTTGTTTAGTTGAGATATTTGATCAAACAGTTGTCGGATAAACTAGAATAAAAGAGGATGAATTCAACACAAAAGAATAAGAAAAAAAATCAAACTGTATATTATTTATAAATATATACAAGCAGATGAAACGTTATACACGCAGACAAACATTGGCCAAGATCTGTGAATTTAGAAAGAACGAACAGATCAAACTAGATTATACAATTTATACATATACATGTATATATAGAGAGAGAGAGACAAGACGGAGGAAAATGATTTACCGTCTTTGAATTCTCCCCAACACCAGAAAATGGGGAAAATGATTTCTGGAAAATGTTTTTACAGTGAAACAAACACAGCCTTAATGCAATGTAATTTGCAGAGTAAGAACTTTGACAATTAAAGAGATTTCATGAACACAAAGGTTGATACTTATATCTAATAAATGAAATAATAAGTTCCTCTACTTAGGAATATTAATGTAGCAATGCCCCTCCTCAATGACCATTGACCACTAGTTCTTTTTCAGATGATCCTCAAAGATATGCACACTCAAATGACAAGATTGTACCTGTATATCTATTCCAGCTTCCAGTGCTTTCTGAAATAGCATATCTACTCGCACTAGATCATTAGGCAATTGCTCCTATACAATTTGAACAGAACTTCTATGAGTATTATATTATAAGTGACAAAATAACTAGGGACTGTATTTAACAAGAGAAGCATACAAATCCTGGCAAGTCCAAAACAGTCTGAACACATTAAGCAAACTATATACAATATATAAAGCCTCACATCTACAATGTTAGATTAACTGAATGAACATGCTTTATGTTATTCAGATCACATTCTTGCATCTACAAAATGCAACTCAAAAACAAACACACAAAATGCAAGAGGAGAATTGTAAGAGTTTGTTGCTAGAATGAGAGGTCGTATATGGTAGCCAATCACTCGTGAATTTCATTAATTCAGTTTTCTGTTTTGATTTCTTGTGTCTTCCACACAAAATAATCATAATTCTAGTATAATTCATATTTTGACAATTGGAATTTGAATTACAATTTGTGACTCTAGCTCCAATTCCACATCTCACTCAGAGTCTCAGACCTTAAAAATAAATTAAAATTACCATAAATATAGAGGCTATGTTGGGTTTTTATATTTTCACTGATTCAACAACATTTTGGTTTGAAAAAAAAACTAGTTTGTTTAGCAGAATGAAAAAGATTATGCATGATCGATTATATAAAAAAATGATTACCCATAATCAGGTCTTAAATTGATTGAATTTAAAGTAGAGGCATGCTTGGAGATAGAGTCTGAAAATTCAGAAGGAACTGATTTTTTGATGTGCATTAATAAAACATGATTTTTACCAAATTATATAAATCTTAGTCAATTATATATAATCATCAAAATTGGTTTGAATAACCCAAACACAACCTCAACATTTTGACAGTTAAACAATGAGTTCAGTGAAATGAAATCTTGCTTCATTAACAACTAATCCTCATTCAAAAGCATGAGAAATTACACTTAAGTGTGCCTAAATAATTTAAAGAGCACATGTTAAATTATGTATGAGGTCTCATAAATTTTAAAATAACCCTCTGGATAAATAGAAACGACAACGTTAGAAACTAAAGTCTGACACTTTACAATAGAGGCACACCCATTTTTCACCGAACTGAGCATTCATAAAATCTAAAAGTCTACTCTAATAGTTCATACGAAGAAATACTAATACCTCCTGCATATTAACAAAAACTATAAATTATTATGTGACAAAATATATAAAAATCACAAAAACATAGGCAATACATTTTAAATTTCACGCAAGTGTGAATTACAAAAAATAGATAGCATTGCTGGGAGTCTGGGACATGGTAACTTCTTACACAATAAGTCCTCCATGCTTTACATAAAACAATACATGAATAAATCATATAACTAACATTATGCTGATAAGTACTCAAATAAACACAATAGTAACTAAACAATAGAAATTATACACCTAATATTGCAATAAAACATAAACAGAATAGTAGTTAAACAACAGGAGTCATACAGCTAATATTGCAATAAGACATACTCATAACCAAATTAGTACCTGAATTATGTGCAACCCCCAACAAGTAAGAGTTACATCATAATACAAACAGGGAGTTCAATAAGAACATATCCGTTTAGGAGACAGGACATCACCTTATAAAATGACTCCACAGAAAAGTTTGGGTTTGCTCCTAAAGTTACAGTGAAGTAAGAAAAATTAACAGAAAATCTCTGCAGCAAATACGCCAGATCAACCGTCCAAATACTGCCAAAAAAAAATGCCACCAAAAAATGATTATGAAAATTGATCGATCAGCCAATGTTTTTATATGAATGATGAATCTTTAAGTACCACAGGCAACCTTTTGTAAGGTGAAATATGGCAAACATACATAAGATAATCTCTCTCTCAGTGTGTTTGGTGTGTGTTTTTGCTGAGCATCCATATAATAATCAACATCAGTTCCCAGTCACTTACATGATATAATATATATATATATATATATATATATATATCTCACAAAAACAATAATCAAGCTTGCAGACCAAAAAATAACACTGACCTCCCTTGTCTGACATGATTTTATAAAATATAACCCCCTCCATTAATTCTGACATGATTTTATAAAATAAACTCCTCCATTAATGGTCAACGGCGGTTTTTGCTGATGCCGTCAATTTTAGAATACCAATTTTCCCTTGTTTAATATATAAAGACATTATCCTTCGTAAGACAAAAGAAATTACTTAAAATAACCTTATTTTAACATAAATTAAGTTACATAAAAACACTACTTATAAATAAATAAAAAGGCCATAATTTTGCAACAGGTCTATGACATTCTCTTCTTCTTTCTGACTTCTTTTTCTTCATACTAAAGGCCCAACACACACAATATATAAAACGATTATAAAAATAAAATGCTTAGCCATGGATCTCTATGGGGGAAAACAAAAAGGTGGAAAGCCTACACAAACTATGAGATTTAACCTAATTGCACATTGTTGCTATGTTTGTGACAACCTACACAAACCGTGTACTATCATTTGATTCATACTAATTTAAATAGAATCGGATCATAGGAGAATTGTTCCATCACAGCCAAAATAGTGTAACTAGCATTAACATACCTTATGAAAAACAACTGAGTTGACAAAATGAGAAAGTTCTCAAATAAAACTATGTTTCATCACCACTCGAGTAGGCTATGCATCATTAACAATTCAATGTAGTGTAAAAACAATTGAGATGACAAAAAGAGACCAAGTTCTCAAGTAAGAATAAACAATCCCATCATACAATTTCACATTCAAAGTAACTTAGCAATATGGCAAGGAGCTAAACACCAAACTTTGTGATGAAGAAAGGCACCTAGTTGTACAGCATAGGTCCCCCAGTTCCTGAATATTACAGTTGTTGATGCCGAGGGTTCTCAAAACCATCAAAACACAAGCAAGACCACAATCCCAAGTTTGTAGCTGGTTTATGTGCGGGACCTATAAGCACAACACTCCTCAATGGATTCAAAGAACAAGGAACCCCAATAAAGTAATTAAATGGATGAACTTATCCAACAGAATATCTATGATTAAATAAAAAATCTCTTTCTATTTTATATCTCTAAATGATTATTGATTGGAAAAGGTTAAAACTAACAATACTGCAAATAAAATACAAATTACGAGTAGTACCAGAATGGACTTACTTCAACAAAGTGTGAGCGGTGCAAGAATGAACAATTGCTTTTCTCATTACTCAACGACTGCCCAAATGGGTAGGATTCAACCAAACTCAATTCATCTCCAATTGATCGATGAGCATTTTCTTCTTCCGCTTTCAAAAATTTGTTGAAGAGAACATACAAAGGCCACATTAGTGACCAAAATATAACCAAGATATCTTACTCGAATACTGCACTCCAGGCATAAAAATGGTCTGACCGATTGTATATGCAGTACGTCTTGCCTTGTAGCTGTCCAAAACTATCCCAAGTGTCCCATATCTCCTATCTGATGTAAATACAACCAATTCAGACATAAAAACGGTCTGACCGATAGTATATGCAGTAATCCTTGCCTTGTAGCTGTCCAAAACTATTCCAAGAGTCCTATATCTCCTACCTGATTTAAATATAACCAATAATAAGTGAAATTGAACAAAAAATTATAATTCTATGTGTTTGATATTTAGTAACATAACTAGCCACAAGTGCTTTACATGTTCAGATCAAATAACATTAATTATAAAGCAGCATAACAAGGCACTCAATCACATAGAGATGTAACACTATACATTTTTGTTTTTCGTACAAGTTAGAAGTATAGTTGTTAAAGGCCCGCCTAGGCTCCAAAAAAGCCCCAAGGGTAGAGCGCCTCAACCTAGTATAGGCCAAATGTTACAGGGGGGTCTTGTCCCGCATCAGATCTGGATGGGAAGTGAAATAGGTATATATGGGTTGGGTGTTAGCACCACCTAATAGCTTAAGCTTTTGGGTCGAACCGCGAAACACCCAGCCCGTTACAATTGGTATCAAAGTAAGACCTGGTCTATGATCTGGTGTCATGCCAAGCGCCTAGTCTGGAGGTGTCCAGGTGGGCTACTCGGCAGGGGCGGAGCCAAGGGGGGGCTGGGGGGCCCATGGCCCCCACCTAATTTTTTGGATTTTTTTTTTTTGTATAGGTAAAAATAAAAATAATATAGCATATATGACATAAAATCTATACTTGGCCCCCTAAGGAAAAAAAAAACAAATTCTTTCTTTAATTAGCATTTAAAAGATAATTTATATATAATCTAAAGGAAAATGATTTAAATGACGACTATAGAATCCCGATAAAAACTGACTCATACAAAAATTTAATGTGACTATCTTAAAATTTCAACTCAAACACAGTTGTTTCCATAATGTTACTATCTTAAAAACCTTCCAAATCAATCACGATTCTTACCATAACCTTATTATCCTAAAATTCCATTTCATACATGATTCTTTCCACTTTTATTTATTTATTTTTATTGGAATCCTTTTATAAGAATTCTATAAGAAATTATTTTTTACAAAATCTAGAACAAAATCTTCATTTGAAGTTCTGAAAATCAATAAAAATCGATGATTGAAGAATCTAAATTCTTATTTTATTAATTTGTTTGTGTGTGTTTTTTTTTTTTTATTTTTTTTATTTTTTTTTTTATCATAATTATTGTTTTGTTAAATTTTCAATTGTTACTTTTTTTTTTAAAGTTATTTTTGTTTTTTTTAGGAGACTACAGAAAGACAAGTTTGACACACAAAGAAAGATTATATCCTTACAATTTCTTATTAAGTTATTTCAATGCAACTTCTGCACAAAAAAAAAAAAAAAACAAAGTTTGACCTAAGAAATCACTTCTTTCTCATTGATGTAGATAATTTTTATGCACATTACAATCCAGATTAATCTCAAAGTTTTTTTTGTTCCTCTCCCTATATAGATTTTGTATGTATATACGTATTTTTGTGTGGGGGTGTGTCTATTTTTTTTTTTTTTTTTTTTTTTACCTTTGTTAAATTTAGATAGATATATTTTTGTATGAATATAATAAATCGTAAAATATTTTTGCCCACGTAATATTTTTTTATTTTTTCCTCAAAAGTTCTAGCTAAGTAATGTTGCTTATAATTTTGGCCCCCCCAACCTCAAGATCCTGGCTCCGCCCCTGCTGCTTGGGTAGGCAAGGTGGCCCTATTGTTATGAGGGCGTTGCGAGTTCAGGTGGGGGAGAATGTTACAAGGTGGGATCTTGAACCCTCATCGGATTCGAATGGGAAGTAAAATGGGTATACATGGGTTAGGTGTTAGCACCACCTAATAGCTTAAACTTTTGGGTCGGACCACGACACACCTAGCCCGTTAACTAAACTCCTTCAACCAAGCTCACGCTTTATAGTAGGCTCCATGCACCTTGTATTTTTTAATCATTTTTTTATTTAATGGCAATTAAATTAAAATTTTCTATATCATATATCGTATTGTTTAACCTTATTAAATATTTGACAAAATTAATAAATTTATAGTTCATTACATACATTAATTGTAGTTATAGCTTGATTATGAATATATAGAATAATATATGCTCAAATATGCAATATTATTACATATGCACCTTACTTCGATCAGGCTTGCACCTTATATTACATCTTGAGCTTAGTGTCACGGGCTTAGAGTTTCAGTACCACTCTAGCTGCTCCCGTGCGGCACCAAGACGTTGCTTTCACTCTCGCAAGTACTTGGTCAGCCTAACTCCCGTGCACACCTTAGCCAACACACTCCCCTCGTGCGCTTACTAGTGTTGTAGTTGCCCTCGCCCTCTCCTCACCTGGCTTGCACACTCACACACACTAAGGCACTTAAGTTGGCAAGGAAAGAACACTTCTATTACTTCAAAGAATGCTTTGTACAAGGCTAGCACTCAAGCTCTCTACAAGGCTCTCAAGACTCACTCTAGGACTTGTTGCCTACAAAATGAAGTCCTACCTCTATTTATAGGCATCCCCATCCCTAATGGACGGCTAGGATGCATTCTAACCAACGGTGGAGATTGATTATCTAGAATCTTCTCCCACCTTCTTCACACTTCCATACTTATCTACTAGTATCTACAACATTCTAGAATTCTCCATACTACTCCACACAACTCTGGAGAACTCTAGAACCTTCCACACACTTCTACACATTTCTACACATATCTAGAAACTTCCACATAACTCTAGACTATTCCGGAAGACTCTAGAAACTCCACTTGCCATGCAGTTGCCATGCAGCGTCCTCCTCAGCGTCCTCCTCAGCGTCTGTGTGTCGCCTGCGTGGCATAACCTCCATAGGCGGGGCGTGACATTCTCCCCCACCCATTTCCGTGACGCCCTCGTCACGGTTTCTTCAGCTGACCCAGCCTCTCATAGGTCATCAGCACTTGCGCATATGTCCTTGGCCCAAACGTACGAGCGCCCTTCGGGAGATGTGAAGTCCTCACGAGCTCCATCGTGTTGAATGCCACCTCTGGACTCTCCTTCCTGCCCACGAGCGGCACCATGCATGCGGCCTTGCCTTCCTCGCCTCCAAGTATCATCAACGCACCAAGGCATGGTAGTGGCGCGGCGTTGTTCCTGTCCATGAACTCCAGCCCCAGCACCATGTCGTGGTCGTCCATCTCCGCAACTTGGAAGTCAGCCTTGCCCTTCCATCCTTGCATGCATAGCTCCACCTCCTTGCACACTCTACTCACGCGTGCCTCCTCGGAGTTGACGGCCTTGATCCAGCCCTCCGTCTTGCGCATCTCCAAGCCAAGTCGTTGCGCCTCCTCCGGGGTAATGAAGTTGTGTGTAGCACCCGTGTCTACCAACGCTTGCACGGCTTTGCCACCAACCTGCGCATCCACATAGCGCACCCCAGCTACCTTCTTTGCCTTGCCCTTCTTCTTGGTGTCATGAGCCATGCTACTCAGCATCTGCATAGCCCCCATGCACCTATCTTCATCGCTGCCCGCATCGTCCACCCTGCCCTTGCCCTTATCCTTCACAAGGGCGCTCATGGTCTTCTTGTTGGGGCAGTGTCGCAATATGTGCGGCCCTTCGCACAAGTAGCACTTCGGCTCCCACTTGCCCTTATCGCGGCGCTCCCCTTTGCCACTAGCCTTAGACCTCTCTCCATGGTCCTTACCTTTATCATGGCGTGGGCGTCTCTCCTCATCGCTGTGCTCATCATCGCTAGACTTGGGCGAGCCCCGTTTCTTGAAGCGCCGGTCTCCCCCACCTTTGCCGTGGTCCCTCTTGGGAGACGTGGCCCTCTTGTCATCGCGCCTAAAGTCTTCGAGGCGCTCCGCTATAGCCATTGCGGATGCCAAGTCTCTAGGCTCCCTCCTCCTTAGCTCCGTGGCCACCCAAGACTGCAGCCCATCAATGAACAAGCATACACGTTGCCGCTCCGGCATCTCTGGGATCTCCAGCATCAAGTTGGAGTACTCCTTCACATACTCCCTTATGCTCCCCTTCTGCTTCAGGCGCCTTAGGTTGATCATGGCGAGGTCCTCAACGCACTCGGGATAGAACTGCCTCTTGAGCTGCCTCTTAAACTCCTCCCATGTGTCAACTGCTCTTGCGCCTCTACCGGTGAAGCGCTGCCTCCACCATAGAGCGGCAGTGTCCGTGAGGTACATAGTGCCTGTCTGCACCTTCTCCTCATCATCCTCGATCTCCATGCACTCGAAGTACCGCTCCACGTGCCAGAAGAAGTTGTCAATCTGGCGCGCTTTCCTTGCCCCATCGTACTCCTTGGGCTCCGGCGCCTTCTTCTTCCTTGGCTTCACTACGACCTCGCGCGCCTGAGAGAACTCCTTCTTGCACTCGGCAATCTCCATGCGCAAGTCGTCTACCCGATCATGCAAGTCCCTTTCTTTCTCTTGCGCCTTGTTGGCGATGCCATCAATCAGCTCGTAGAGCTCCGCCATCCTTCTCTCGAGCCTATTAAACTTAGTCTCCGTGTAGACCAAGTGTGTGGCAAGCTTCTCCTCCAAGCTCTGCTCTAAGATGTGGACTTGGTGGTCTCCTCCGCTAGCCATGTCTACTCCAACAAAGCTCCCTTGACGAACCTGCTCTGATACCAACTGTCACGGGCTTAGAGTTTCAGTACCACTCTAGCTGCTCCCGTGCGGCACCAAGACGTTGCTTTCACTCTCGCAAGTACTTGGTCAGCCTAACTCCCGTGCACACCTTAGCCAACACACTCCCCTCGTGCGCTTACTAGTGTTGTAGTTGCCCTCGCCCTCTCCTCACCTCACCTGGCTTGCACACTCACACACACTAAGGCACTTAAGTTGGCAAGGAAAGAACACTTCTATTACTTCAAAGAATGCTTTGTACAAGGCTAGCACTCAAGCTCTCTACAAGGCTCTCAAGACTCACTCTAGGACTTGTTGCCTACAAAATGAAGTCCTACCTCTATTTATAGGCATCCCCATCCCTAATGGACGGCTAGGATGCATTCTAACCAACGGTGGAGATTGATTATCTAGAATCTTCTCCCACCTTCTTCACACTTCCATACTTATCTACTAGTATCTACAACATTCTAGAATTCTCCATACTACTCCACACAACTCTGGAGAACTCTAGAACCTTCCACACACTTCTACACATTTCTACACATATCTAGAAACTTCCACATAACTCTAGACTATTCCGGAAGACTCTAGAAACTCCACTTGCCATGCAGTTGCCATGCAGCGTCCTCCTCAGCGTCCTCCTCAGCGTCTGCGTGTCGCCTGCGTGGCATAACCTCCATAGGCGGGGCGTGACATTAGGCTCCAGAAGGCCTTTGGCCCCTCAGTGCGCCTTGAGTCTTTAACAACTATAGTTAGAATTATATAACCCTTAGATGACTACAAACATTTTGGGTACTGGTTTGTTGCCATCGTCATCCTCCTCCTTGCCTTTATAACGAATGGGATCGACCACGTGAATTTTCTTTTTCCAATATATTATAGTACACATAATGTCTCCTCTTATATTTATTTTTTAAGTCGCTTTTAGTTATTTCATCCTAACTTAGTGTTGGTTGGCCTCATTATCTATTACCTTCTATGTAACTAATCTCCATTTTCTTATGGGTGCATCTGTAGTTTACGTGTAGGTGTCCATACAACTTTAAGCCTGCTTTCTTTCTTTTGCCAATACTAGGTGATATTCCTACTCTCTCCCTTATGCTTTGATTTGTAAATTTATCTCTTCTAGTCACTCCCGTCATACATCACAACATTCTCATTTCAGCTACATGAATGCATTGTTCTTGTGTTTTTTTTTAACACAACATTCTCTCCTTATAAGATAGTTGACTTTTAACTGTCTTCTTAATTTTCCTTTTAATTTATTTGTTAGTAGGACCAAAAATCACATCCCAGATGAACCATCAATCAAGTGTTTGTAAATTGAGGTATGTATAGGTAGTCCTTGTCTAAAACCAGACCAGATCTCAACAAATTCAGGGCAATGAACACAACATTGCGATCACATTAATTCTTCAACGATCACATTACAGATAAAGTATGCCTTCTGCTGAAATTACAGACTTCTAATATATAACCTAATCTGTTATAAAATTTATACTATTGGTGATCTGATGCAGTGATTGTCTGAGCTACACATTTGTCTGACTCAGTTTATGAACTCTTTCAAAATTAATCATTAAAAGGATAGTAATCAATTAAACCTAATCTGCAAAAACAATTAGATCATAATATGACATCGAGGAACATATGAGCCATTACAGATGCAATAATAGTGGCACAAAACATGATTTGATAAATACCATCAGAGAAAATTGAACAGTTTAAACATTTTAATTAGACGATGTATCGATAATAATAAAAAAAAGAAAATGCGAAAAAATCTTTACAAGGCATTTAATAAAGCAATAAGAAAAAGAATCAACAATTATTGCACAATAAAATTTTTTAATCATATGAACACAACCCATATATACATAGACAAAAAAAAAAAAATGGAAAAGGAAGAAAAAAAATTTTTTGAATCAGCTGTTTGAGATGAAAAGGTTGATGAGAGAGAGAAGGTACCTTTGGGTTGGATCGGAAAGTTTAAGAGGCAGTTGTCGGAGAAGGTCTTCGTTGCCTTTACTTTCGCGGTTGTTGAATGTGCAGAGCTTTTATACGATGGACGTAAGGTTTATCGGCTTAATGTACTCCCCCTTCACGTGGGCCCCTAGACTTTGATGTTTTGTGAGACTGATGCATATATGCATTGGTCAATGGAAGACCAAAAGCCTCGATGACACGCGTCTGAAAGAGACTGGGTCGAAATGGAAACTGGAGATTAATCATTGTTGTCTACAGCTCACGAGTCCTGTTTAAAAAGGATTACAGTATTTATTGACAGATGAAGCCATTATAAGAAAAATATATTTTAGAAAATATTCCGTACTTATCAATTTATTCTAATAGAAGTAAAAATAAATTATTTATATAAAATACTGACTCTATTTTTTTATTTGTTATATAATTGATTAATTAAAAAAATAAGTTTAACCATTCAATACAATTATTCAGTGCAACAATCATTTATTTAAAAATAATTATCAAGTGAGAATTGTGGTTTGAAACGCAATTGGTTGGGTTTAAAGTCTCAACAGTTGTGATTTTGAGATTGGTTTGGTTCTGATTTAATTTAAACTGGTATTAAATATCGTAACAATAAATGCATGTTTATTTAGGGAGCAAACAAAAAAATAAAAGGAAAACAATGTATGCATATTGTTTAGTATAAGACTCCCTCCCCAATGCTATAACCATGACCTTCCTAATCCTTCTTTACTTAAGCTTGCTTGCATGTCTGCCTAACAAAATTTTAAGGGTTCTCATGCAACACTTGCCTCTTAATTCGATCCAACCTTAGTGTTTGTATGTCTTAAAACTTTTATATGCTGCAAATTTTATTTTTAAAAAAAATTGAACTAAACAGAATTAGACTTCATGCAACACTCACACACACACTTTGTTTATTTGGAGACTCGAATCCTCACCATCCAAAGATATTTCTCTAAAAACGGACCTTTATATCTAAATTTTAAAAAAATTGAATCAAACAGAGTTTTTGTATAACTTTTTGATTTTTAAATAATCATTTTATGAGTGAGAAACCAAACAGACTTTACTCATTTTTTATTTGCTTGAGCCATGTGATGGTGTTCATGATAAATGCTACTTTGGTAACAGGCCAAAGTAAAAAAAAAAACCTCACTCCATTCAGATTACTTGTGTATGTGGACCCTAAACCGAGTGTGATCTAAATATCTTCTTACCAACCCAGTGTTGTTGTGGACTCAGGCCTGTAGATGCAAGCCCAATGTTACTGGATTGATGATGGTCCAAGCCCTATGTTCAAAACTAGCAATTGCTGTGCTCATGGAATAGATAATAACTCCTGAAATTTAAATTTACATTGGTAAAAATCAGTAGTAAAAGACAACGACAGACCCATGATGTTGAACATAACTGGTCTGAAGAAATATTATTAGATGTCATGAGTCTTTGAGAAGATGGATCATTCATGGTCCCAAAAGTCCATCATCCCACGCAGAGGAGGAAAGGGTGGGCCTAAGATCCAAACAAGATGGGTCTAATTCAAATTCAAAAGTTTATGAACTTCAGGTAATAATGATAAAAGCCTTCTTTGAATTTGCATATGCTTATAACCGTTATACGTAGTAACTATTTTTACCTCGAGTAATTATTTGTTTCCAGTATTATCACGGTAACAAAAGGTTAGACTAGTTACATATCTAACATGGCATAAATTAAGTTACTACTTCCTCACTAATCAAATGGGTTCTCAAGCTTGAAGCTTGATCTCTCATACTTCTAACTTTAGTCATATATGTACAACCAAAGAGAATAAAAAGTAAAATTGTAATGTAATTGATCTTTTATCGGGGAAAAATATTGAATAATCAATATTCACTACGGAGTATTTATTTTGATAAAAAAAAAAAAAAAAAAAAAAATTTAACAACTAACTATTGGACAGGTTCTGTGTTTGGTACCCAGAATACTAAGTACTTTCTCAATATTTGAGTGGTTGCTAATATTTATTGCTGTGTATGTATGTATGTAGGTAGGTAGTGGAGCCTGTTTATGCCCATGGTTTATTTTTTACACACACACACACACACACACACATATATATATGTATACATATATGAAAATTTTAATATAATGTTTCCCTAAAATAATTAGTTTTTAAAATTATCTATTAATTTTCTCCTCCTTTTCTCTATTACTCTTTAAATTCCTTTAAAAACAAAAAGTTTAAGTTTTCCTTCTTAAATTAAACTTTAATTTTTTCCCTTCTAAGTTATGTCATTTTTTCATCCCTTTTTTTCCTTTCCCTTCTACTTCTTTAAATTCTTCTTCTGTTTCTTTTTTTTTTTTTTTTTTTTTTTTTTTTCCTCCTTAACACTGCCCCCTAAACTGAAATCTTGGCTCCCCTGTACCTGTATGTAGGTGTGGTTGGTTAGGGGTAGCATTCAAGACAACAACCTTAGTATAATTATGTAGCTAATTTTATTGCCTTTTAAGTGAATTTTTTTTTTTAATTCTTTGTGAAAAATATATTCGGTGTGTCTAGTGCATTGTGCACCAGACTATTAGAGTCATCCATTCTCATACGTATTGTGCACGGATAGCTCTGATGAGTCTGATGCACTAAACACACCGCATACCTTATTCAATATCCATGCAGAAGTAGCACTCAAATTGTCATAGTATTAACTATTCAACCTTTTTATTGCCCTAATGCACACGCAAATGCAATCAGCTATAAATATGATACCATTCGGCTTAAACCCTCACGGACCACATTTTGTCATCCCAATGTCAATTTGGTGGCTATAATTCCATAACTTGCAAAGAGGTACAGAAATGGACCTCAGCCCATTCCTTAGCCCAATTTAAAGGAAAATGAACATAGAACGCTTTTTCTTCCATGCTGAAGCCCATCTCTTTTTGTGTCCTGTTTCAAAAATCAAACCGAAAGTTCTTCAGTGACCCATCAAGGCACTGAACTTTCATGCCACTGAATTCAAAAGGTGACAAATCAAACTTGCGGACATTGCATTTTGAATTTTTGCCCTCGTTGCATGAAAATCTAATGCAATCACCGTTTATAATAACAAAACTCAAAAGATATATGAATAGTAAAAAAGGTGAAAGATGATGGAGAAGAAGTAAATAAAGTTTGAAAAAAGAGGCACAATTTAGACAGGAAAAAAGTCAAGGGTGTATGGCTTTTGTTGGAAAAAGAAACCTGCGTTTGCTTTAGTTGCTTCACTTTGAAATAGTGTTTTAGACAAAAAGTTTACTAGCCGTTGCTCGCCCTTTTTGCATTTCCTTTTTCTAGTTGGAAGTTACCTGAAACCTAACATGCATGAACATAAAGCACAAAAGAAAAAATAAAGAGACCTTATACGAAATTCATAGAGGATTCACACGTCGAACGACTTCTTATTCATTGGATTGTGTACGTGGAATCTAAACATAAATTTCACTTCTCCCATTCCGTGGATGGGAAACAGTTCGATTCTCCGTTAAGTTGCAAGTTTCATGACATTAATCATGTTCCTTCATGAATCGTAATGAATAAGTTTAGGGCATGTAATACATTTTTTTCCTCATATAAGGTGATTAGGAGGTACTGGAAATAGTTTTGTTTTGGTAAGGTCGTAAGGGAAAGAGTTGTTTGAATTGGAATTATGTGTACACCCGCTATCCTATTTCAAATGTTTGGTGTGAAGGTGGGACCACATCCGTCACACTCACAATAGTTTTCAAATCAAGTTGATGAAACAACAAAATTGGTCTTGTTGCACAAAACTTCTATGAATTTCAAATTTTGACTAATCATTCCTAAAGAAAGTCTTTACCTGATTTTTAAAAAAAAAAATTGTTTGGTGAACAGATTTTTTTTTTTTTTGATAGTTGATAGTCACACTTATGGAGGTTTGAATTCTTAATTTTTTTTTGAGAAGTAGGAGTCGGTACCGTTAGACTACTGATTTGTTGGTGGTAAAAAATATTTTTATTTTTTTAGTAAATGTTCATTTTTTTTCCTTTAACCGAGATAATGCCTCCCAATTTAACTTGTTATAAGATTATTTTTTTTCCCCTGGTTAAAGAATGTATTGAAGTTCTTCTATAGTATTCCTTCTCCACACCTACATGGTTACATGGCAAAAACCAACACTAGGTAGTAGTATTTGGCAGGTAACTTACTTAGGGTTATATATATATATGTGTGTGTGTTTGTATGTGTGTTTGGTCTTTTCCATCAAACAATATGCATATACAAACAATGATTACAATAATAACTTCAACTACACTAAATAATAATCCAACAAACAATGATTACAACAATAACTTCAATTACACTAAATATTAACCCAATAATATAAAACAATTTTAGAATTCTTTTGACTCTGATCATATAATAATATATTTTTTTGGCCAAAAACAGTTCCATTATATGTCCTAAAGTCTACAATCCAGCAGTTTCCAAAGCCCACTTTTTTGTTACTAAAATACCCCTCTACAAAATTCTGGTAAAGAGCCTTGTTTTCAGGGAAGAGTAAGGTAACATAAGTACTGTATAAGGTTAGTCATTTTGCTGACTGATAATAATGATATCGTATAGGCTATAGCCCTAAAACGGCTAATGGGCCTCGTTAGGTTCAAAATGATGAATTAATGTCACCCAATGCAAACAACCTTTTTGGGTTCAACTAACTCTTTTTCCTCAGACCACTTATACTTAAATGCAATTAACTAATGGTTGGCAAAAAGGCCCACTGAAGCATTCAGACCAAGGAAAAAAAAAAATAGTAAATGACCTAATTGCCCTTACTAATGTCACTTTTGAACATACAGTGCATACCCTTCTCCGTCAATACAATCAAAATTTTATGTCACGGGTAGGTGCATATGGGCAGAGGACCACTTAATTTTAAACCATCTCTTTGTGAATGATTCAATTTTGTACTTCTTCACTGGTACCTTAAAGGAGATTATGAAAAATTACATATTTGGCCCATAAGCTCTACTTTGGATGATCTAAACTCATTTTTAAAAGGAGAAATTGAGTGTCCAAGTACAGATGGGGACATAATATGGTTTGCGTGAATTTCCTTAGACTTAGATGAAAAATATAAATTTAAAAAAGAAATAAATATTTTGCTTCTTTATCGTGTTAGTAGATGTAGAGAGTTAAAACTTGGCGTTCCAAAGTCCATCAAAAACATTAATTTATTGGACTATCGAGACATTTGTTAAATCTTTCGTACGAGTTTAATTGAACTTTTTTCTCGAGAAAAAAGAAAAAAGAAAAAGAAGGTGAGACTCGTGAAAAAAAAAAGGGAAAACGGAAAAAAAAAAAAGAAAAAAAGAAGGTGAGACAGTGCGATTACTTCCTTTGAGACTTTATTTTGCATACAATTCGGCCTTTAGGCTATGATCTAGTCTCTCTGACAAAAATTAGCTCTGAACCATTTAAAAGGTGGGTAGCCCAATTAAATGGGCCTTTATTTTGTTGGGGCTTGGCATTATGAAAAATTAAACAATCTTTTAATTATCGAAAAAACGATAAATTAAACAAGCCTTTACCGTATCATTTACTTGCACTCTCACTTGTTAATTTAAAGGGGCTGCACGTACCAAATGCAAACCCATCCAAAATATCTCTGTCAAACTTTACGTAACCTAAATGTTACATTTACCATTTTATCCTCATCATTCTAAAAAAAAGAAAAAGAACCAAAAAAATGAGAAAATAAATACTTACTTTTTAAAGTAAAGTATAAGTAACTTTTTTTACTTGTGAATATAAATTATTCACAATAGAATATTAGGGATATCCCAAAGGGTGATGATTGAGTTTTTTGTAAAGGCCAAATAAACAATCAAAATACAGTTCAAGCAAAGAAACTTAAAAGTGTGAAAATAATTTTTCGCATATTAAAAATATAAAGTAAGGTGCAATATGAATGCAACAACGTTGGCGATTATTGAGTAAGTTTGGATCATGTTACGGCCCTCAAGTTAAATTTGTATCTCATTAATATAAACTTATCAAATTTAACTTGGGTTCAAGTACAAATGCCCAAACACGAAAAGTAGGTCAGTCATTTGGACAATGCGGTACTTGCAAAAATTAATAAATAAATTATTGAACTTGTTGAAATTGAGATTCCAATTTGTTGTTCTATACATCCGTTAAAGTCGTATCCCTATCTAATTGTCGAATTGCATACCTGATACACAATATTGCTATGCAGACACAATTTTAAAGTTATTGTATATATTTTTCTTATTCTTTTTTTATTTGAAAATAATATATTTTTCTTATTCTTAGCGAATAAGGTTTTGAGAAAATTTGAACTCTACACATTCCTCTTGGGAACGAGAAGAAATACTTCTTCACCACATGTGTTTATTCATGCATGTATTAATGGAGCTTTTAAAGTACATTCACACAACATAAATGCTCTATTTAGTAGTTATAGAAGTTGAAAATGAAAGTAAACAAAGAGAAATTAGTAGTAATTATAGATGATAGTTTTAACTATAAAAAAGAAGTTTAGGTATAGTGACGTTGACAGAATTAGAATGTAAGTTTTTACGAATGGTACTTTTAACTATTTAATATATTTCTGTTTCGAAGGGTGCGTCTGAAAAAAAAAAAAAAAAAAAAAAAAAGAAAAGAAAAAAGATATAAAACAAAAAATTGTAACTATCATCGCGATGTCCAAATCTATCTAATTGGATTGAAAAAACTCAAATAATTTACCTAAACCTCCCTAATCTCCCTAAATCACATCACAGTAGAGGATTATAAACATCAATCTGCAGCAGGGTAAACTTGTAACTTCATGCTGTTGACGTACCCGTCCCCCTACGGCTACATTGCATTATTTTATTAAATTTTTTTTGAATGGGCGTAGAATCTTGGATGGAGATAGAGAGAGAGACGTTGGCATCAGCCAAACACTACCTTAAACTTGAAAATCAAATTTAGAGAGAGAAAAAGAGAGAGAGAGAGAGAGAGAGAGAGAGGGGGGAGAGAGAGAGAAGCCGCCCTTCGTTCTCAGAAATCATGTGAGACCACCTCTAGCAATCATCGCCATCTTCACTCTTCTCGTGTGTATATTTGAAAAATTAAACCTTATATGAGTCCCTGGTATTTCAAATTTGCCTTCTCTACATTAGACATGTCTGGACTTCAACCCTCATTGATGGTGAGAGAAGATAAACGAAGAACAGATCAGAAGTTCAGCTTAATCTACCATATCTGATTATCAAACCCCATTTTCTTTTCTGGGGTTTTTGCGTTTCAAAAATATTCTTCAAGCCCTCGATTGATTTTCTAGGAAAATAGTTGAAAGATGGAAAGTTCAGCTGAGAAGAGTAAGAGAAAAGATGGGTCTGAGTCGTCTGATGTCACCGATTCGGCTGCCGAGTGCAGAGACAGCAGCACAAGTTCGAGTAAATCCAGCTCCGATGCTTCCGTAGACGAAGCCAAGGTTACGAAATGTTCATCTCCTCCTCCATTGGGTTGGCCTATTCGAAAGGCCAAAGTGTCCAAATGTTTGATTTCTGATCTGTCTGAAGATGAACACAAACCCCGTTTGGATGATTCGAGGAAGAAGAAATTGGGTTCGGAAATTTCAGGTGAGTCATGGTCTTTTGGGTTTTGAACCTCCGTTTGGTTGCTGAGAAAGTTCAGCAAAGCACAAACAAATAATAACAGATGTTCTGTTTTTCCTTTCTGTATGGCTGTTACTATTTCAATTTTGGGTAATTTTTAGTGTTTTTGGTTAAAGCAATTTGGGGTGTTGTAGTTTAACAGCTCTTCTTTAATTTGTGAACAGAAATTGAGATGATGAAACAGAGGTTTGCGAAGTTGTTGCTTGGTGAAGACATGTCAGGAAGTGGTAAAGGGGTTTGCACAGCATTGGCGATTTCAAACGCCATTACTAATCTCTGTGGTACTCTCTCTCTCTGTGACTTTAGGGTTTGGTGAAAAATTGCTATTTTTGTGTTTGCAATTATTTCTTTTTGATACTATTCTAATGGTTTTTTGTGCTATGTCAATGTCATTTGCAGCTACTGTTTTTGGCCAACTTTGGAGATTGGAACCTTTGCCTCCTGAGAAAAAATCAATGTGGCGAAGAGAAATGGAATGTCTTGTTTGTGTTAGTGATCACATCATTGAATTAATACCCTCTTTTCAAAACTTTCCTGACGGAAACAAGCTTGAGGTAATTACAAACCTAGTTTCAAAGAACATTTCATTACTTAAGTTTAAATTTTCATAAAAAAATTCTGCATTTGTATGATTCATATGCCCAATGATAGTAAGCTTGAAGCTAATCAAATTTACATGGTCTATTAAATCTCTTCACTTGTACAGATTTATTCTGATATTTTAGTTGTCACACACAATTTGGTGTTCGCATCTCATTTGGATACTCTGATAGTGTGGAAGCTTAAACTTATTGAAAGTCTTACCAATTATGTAATTTGTGTAACCAATTCACCATTTTGATCAGTGAATCCCCCCCCCCCCCCCCCCCCCACAAAATAAAAAATAAAATTTTACAAGGAGTTAGATATTTGGCGATTTAATATCAGTAAAGAAAAGGTGGGCGAAAACTCCCGAAAATAGAATTTGTATAAGGAGTTGGATCTTTTGTGATTTATTATATATGTTACATGTCTCACAATATGTTCCAATTTACTCCTTAGGTTATGACTTGCAGACCGCGATCTGATATTTTTGTCAACCTCCCAGCTCTCCGGAAGCTAGACAACATGCTACTTGTAAGATTCAACTTGGTTTCTTTTGTTATCCACCCACACTAGTCTGAAAGTCCTTTTTGAAGTTTAAAGCCCCTTTTGTTTCTATCTCAGGAAATATTAGATAGTTTCAGCGATACAGAATTTTGGTATGTTGATCAAGGGATTGTAGCCCCAGGAGCTGATGGATCAGCCACTTTAATTAAACCCCTTCAGCGGCAAGAGGAGAAGTGGTGGCTTCCAGTGCCTCGTGTTCCTGCTGGCGGTCTCAATGAAAAAACAAGGAAGCAATTGCATCACAAGCGTGAATGCACAAATCAAATATTAAAAGCTGCCATGGCAATCAACAGCAATGCTTTGGCCGAAATGGAAGTACCTGAATCATACTTGGAAGGTCTTCCAAAGGTTTGAAATTCCAACATGGCATGATTTTATAATTTTAGACGATCAAAACAACATTGCGACAAAATTGTCCAACAATCCGAACTTTTTGTTGAAAATTATCGGATTTAATGTTGTCCTGTACTTGGTACTTGATCACGGAATTTTGCAAAAGGATTCTTGATTATGCTGATTATACTTTTTGCCGAACAAATTCAAAATTGGTTCCTTTTAAAATTATTCATGATATTTCCAATATGGCACTAAAATTTTAATATCATGTGCTTGAAGGAACATCACAAGAAACCTCTCGCGTAAAGCATCACTATTCATACATTTTGCTGAAATGCATTTAGTTAAATGTGATCCTGTGCTGCTAAATTTTGCAAAAGATTATTGTATTATACTGATTAGCTCAAAAGGACTGCACATGTTCTGTAGTTAAAATGCAATCTTTTTGGCACTGAATGTAACTTTTTCTTTCAAACTTTGTTCAAAATATTTTCAATCCTGAATTTATCATTACACATAAGAGATCTTAACATGGAACTGTTTTTCCAACTTTTAGAATGGGAGAGCCTGTCTAGGAGATGTTGTATACCGGTATATCACTTCAGATCAATTCTCCTCGGAGTGCTTGCTTGATTTCCTGGACCTGTCTTCAGAACATGTTGCTCTAGAGATAGCAAACCGTGTGGAGGCATCAATATATGTATGGCGTAAAAGAATGCACTCGAAACCCATAATTAATCCAAGCCGATCTGCTGCTAAGTCATCATGGGAGATGGTCAAGGATCTAATGGTTGATGTGGATAAAAGGGAATTGCTTGCAGAAAGAGCTGAAAGCCTCCTCATTTGCTTGAAACAACGGTTCCCTGGATTAACCCAAACTACCCTGGATACCAGCAAGATTCAGTTCAACAAGGTCAACTTTTCCTTACATTAAAAAATGTTGTTCTTCCAAGTGCTTCTTTTTTCCCCTATCATTGATTTTGACTACTTTCTTTGTTATTTTTTGCAACCTCTCAGGATGTTGGAAAATCAATTTTGGAGGGCTACTCAAGAATTTTGGAGAGCCTGGCATTTAATATTGTGGCACGTATCGATGATCTTCTCTATGTTGATGACTTGACAACACATTCTGGTAAGCTCTCATCAGTTTCTACAGTCAGTGTAATTGCTCACAAGAGGGTTTCAATCCCATATTCAGTGCCTATCTCGAGCACTCCATATAAAACTGCTTCTGCCACACCGAACTATTCACCTGCACCATTGATTAGCCCTGCAAGGGGGGAGAGAACACCGTTCCTCCATGGCAATAGCAACAAGCCTCCTCGCCGTGGATTTGGGGTAAAAAAGGTCTTGACTAATTATCTTGGTGTTGAAGCAAAAGTAAAAAACTGTGGATATCTAATAGAAGGGTCAGGTTCAGTTCCAAACAAAAACATTGAAGTCCCTACATCTCAAACTGGCATGGAAGTTCTGGAGCATCAAAAGGAGACATCAGCCCACCAAAATGGGAATAGGTTGCGGCAAATTGATCGCTGAGAATTCTGTTGCTTAATCCAGTGGCATTGAGGTTGAAGACATATAGAGAAAAGATACCTCAATACAAAAATTTACTGTTGACTTTCTTAGTTGTAATTGATTATGTTTTATATTATAATGAGTTCAGAATTTAATTTATTGCTTGATTTTGTGGTGTCTTGTTAGTATTATTCAGATCTACCAGTATTTTGGTAAGACAAGAGGACTATATAAAATTCATGTGTTCACTTCAATAGGCAACAACCATATAGAAACTATGAACATTTTGTTAATTCAACTGGTCACAGCAAATTTAGAATTCCAGGAGAAGAAAGAACAAAATGCCTCTTAGTGGTTGTATGACTTATGAGCTGGGCGCCAATGCATTGAATAATTTGGGTGGTGTCATTATAGAATCAGGCATAGTAGTTGGTGTATTGAATCCATATCACATATAGTTATATAGCTGCAATTAAATAAACTACTATATTAGACAGGACACAGGAGACGCTTTTCCAAAGCAGTCAATGCCAACTCTCCAGAAATGTAGGTTGAATTTAACCTCATCTTGAGCATGGTTTAAGGAGAGAAAGGAATTCATTATTTCTAAGTTAACCATGACAAATATGACAATAGTTTTTAATCTCATTTTTAATTTTTTGTGCGATGAAGTTTGGCGCAATGGGAAAATTATTTCATTGTATCATGAGTTCAAAACAAAAAAATAACTTATTTGCAAACGAAAATTTGTGTACATCTAATCTAACCCTTGAAGAATTTCGTGGACCGGTCTAGTTCTTCTAGTTTTAATATTTTGTATTCCCAAATATTGGTTCATGTTAAGATTTGTGAAAGTTAAAATTTTTCTCCCAAACAACTCTTGTGCCAGATATATGCATTCTATTTTTGTTAAATATAATTATCAAATCATGTTATAAGGTTTAGATAATTAGAGCAATTAAAAGGACAAGCAGGTCGTTGTAGTATAGTGGTAAGTATTCCCGCCTGTCACGCGGGTGACCCGGGTTCGATCCCCGGCAACGGCGTAAGCTTTTTCTATTTTTTTAAAATTTAATCATCAAATCATGCTATGAGTGTTAGATATTAGGGCGATTCTTTGGACAAGCAAGTCGTTGTAGTATAGTGGTAAGTATTCCCGCCTGTCACGCGGGTGACCCGGGTTCGATCCCCGGCAACGGCGTTATCTTATTTTTGTCCTTTACCACCTGATTCAACCATCAAACGCCACCGTATCATTCGAGCTAATTGCGTATATTTGTTTGCCATTTTTTGCTATGGTGAGCTCATCAATCATCATGAAGGTCCCCAATTTTTTTTTTCATTTTTTTAAAACTCTATTTATGGTGATTTTATATATGAAAATTAAAGTTAAGTCGTCCATTCTTCTTCTTCTTCTCTTTTTTTTTTTTTTTTTTTAATTCTTATTTACTATTATCTAATCTATGGTTATTAGATGTGGTTTGCAAAAGAAATTACTTTTGGTTCCTTCTTTCAAATCCAATGAACTTTTTTAATTTTTCTTTTGAAATTCAAATTGAATAAAAAAAGTTCAAAGGCAATTTGATTTATTAGCTGTCACCTACTATTTTATCCAAAATTTTCTTCTCATAGACATGCTTTCAAGAAATATACACTAAAAATGCACTGAAAGAAAAATTATTGCAATTATTTTATTTTTAAATTTTAATTTCATATTACTAGTTCTCCACCTCACCCAAATGAATATTTTTGGCTCCACCATTGCACTCCATATAGAGTTACAAAAAATCTAAGTTGTGCCGGCTGAGTTTCAATTTGTTCAACTCATCATTATTTTAAAAAACTCTAATTCGATCCATTTAATAATAAAAAGTCATTTGGACTCGATTTAACCTTCTGTTTAAATGAATTTGACTCGTTCATGAACTTTATACTAGCCTATGTTTATGAGTTTGATCATGAACCCATTGAAGTCCTACATGAACTTAGCATTGCGAGCCTAACAATTTTTAAAATTGACTCATCTACAAGACTACAACTAGCCGACATCAAGGTCAAGTTGTTTATTTGATGAACAAGGTGGAGGGAATTGTTCATGAAAAACATGGTTAATTTACAACTCTATGAATGACTTTTAGTTTTTCTTTTTTTAAGCCAACAAAAAATAGATTAATTCATAAAGCCAATTGCAATACAAACAAGATCAACAAAAATGCCATAAGCCGCTAGGCCCAATATCCCAAACAAGATCCAACTCCCTATTTTCTAAAGCCCATTTTACGTAGTCCATACCAAACATTAGTTTGGGGCTTCTCCTTGATTTCACACCACTCACTTTATCAGTTAGTTCAAACGTTCATCGCAGTATGCGCATTACGCACTCCGCGCATCGAATAAAGCGTGCTTACCACCTGCTTTTCTCATTTTTATATAAAAAGCGTAGCTCACTTTACTTGACTTTAATACTTTAATGCCCCAAATCGAAAACCCATAAACACGCCACCGGCAGATCTGATCCTCCGAGCTAAAATCCGTCCACATCCTCGCCGTCCGATGGAATCCTCGCCGGTTACGGAAATCAGAGACGACACGGAAACTCCGATTAAGTTCGGCACGAAGATCCAAATAACAGCGCTGGACGGAATCATAAACGTGAACTCCCTGTTCACGTTAGCAGTCTTCGTCGGCCTCACCTGGGACCCCCGCGACATCAACAACCGGCTCTTGAACGACCCACTCTGCATCGCCGGCCCCAAGGTCACCGAGGACCTTGTCTCCTTCCACGTGTACTCCTTCAGCTCCTTCCTCTTCTCAAGCCTCATCGCAATGGCCCTCAAGCAGGCCATCAAGTTGGGCATCATGTCCCGTTATCGGACCCTATTGACTTTCGACTTGGCCGTTATCAACCAGACGGCGCTTCGGGTCGGGTACCTGGTGTCGGCGGCGGGTTCGGTATCCGGGTGCGTGTGCTTGATGTTGGCTTTGGTGAATGTGGTTCAGATCAAGCTGGGGACGCTGTCGTGTGCGAATTCTCATATTAGCTATGGTGCTGTTGTTCCTCTTGTCATCTTGGTTCCCTCTGGGCTTTTCATTTATGTGTGCTCTGTTTTGTATGCTTTTACTCGCTAGGGTTTGTGTGTTGAAAAACTAAAATAATTCAAGATGGTTTTTTTTGTATGATTTGAGAATATTTGTAGATGTTTGTATGCAGTAATTATGTTAAAATTTAAGCAGATAGTGTGTGAATACAGTGGTGCTCTGACGAGTCTGATTAATTATAATATAGAATAAAAAAATTTCAAAGAAATTTATTTAACATAGTAATAGGATCCAGTTGTTTGCTTGAATCATCATTAGGTGAGGTTGATGTAGATGGAATGGTTGGTTTGAGTGGTACTTAAAGTTGGTTCTGATTTAGTGCTTACTTGAGTCATCACTTTAGATGATAATTTTTTTGACAAAATCTTAGATGATAATTGCATAACAATAATTAGTTTTAGATTTCCCAACTTTATTAATCCAACCCACATTTTTTTTTTTTTTTAATTTTCAAATATCTATGAATCTGATATTTCTATTGAATGTTTTGATCAGGAGCTAAAATAAAGACCAGTTTTCTCAAAATTAGCCCGACATTGGCCTTACAAAACAATGGAGCATCCTCCCAAATAAATAAAAGACTTATAAGACTGCATTTCCATTCCAAACGCACATTACATCCCGTTTCAACACAATCTAAGTGTGTTAAAACTAAAAATAATGATGTTTAACATATTACAATTAGATTTCAATACAATTGTTAATGATTTCAACACATAACGCATTTGTTGCAGTCTACAATAAATGTGTTGAAATTTGGATTTAATAAAGAAAGTCCTTTAATCTGCTTCTTCCTCTTTGCTTTCTTGAGCAATGTGGAGGTAAGGGGTCTCCTTGTCTAAGTTTCCAATCCTCAACAGAATGCATTCAAAAACCAATTTCCTCAACATTCAATCTAAGAAATCACATTTCACATGGTGGTATGCCTTGGTCACATCAAGATTTCAGAAATTAGATTAGGAAAGAGGATCTTCCATCGGTTTACAAGGACTTTCAAGAACAGCTTGTAGATAGATTACATCTCATAATGAGATATGCCTGGATAATTTTACTTGGGTTTCGGAGATAAAGAACCAAATTGCTACTTACTCCGTTTCAATATAGTTGTCCACTTCGTAAACTGTTACGAAGTTAGAGCTTTCAACAAACAATCCCCGTCAAAATGGAATTAGATTGGAAAAGGAAAAATTAAAATAATCCTCCTGTTCTCCCATTGACGAATTTGAGTTTACTTCGAAAAAATTGTGTATTCTTATATTACCATTGATTAAGCCAGGATGGGATTTTAATTCTTTAAATCAGAATTGAAATCTTGGTTCAGGCTCCACTGCTTTAAGCTCGACTTACAAGTTACAATGCCATGTCCAATGATGCACCTCAGTGCTATGGACATTACGCACTCTACGCATCGAATAATAATGCCTCTTCAAACACCTGTTTTTATTTTTTAACACCACAAATCGAAAAACCCATAACACGCAATCCACGGATCCGATCCTCTTATAGCTAAAAAAAAACACGTTTACGTTCTCACCGGTAACCGGAAATGGGCGACAAGCCTCCGACCAAGTTCCACACGAGCATCCACATCGCGGCCCTCGACGGCATCGTACACGTGAACTCCCTGTTCACGTTAGCAGTCTTCGTCGGCCTCGCCTGGGACCCCAGCGACCCCAACAACCGCCTCGTCGAGGATCCGCTCTGCGCCGCCGGCAACGACGTCGCCGCCGACCTCATCACCTTCCACGTCTTCTCCTTCAGCTCCTTCCTCTTCTCCAGCCTCGTCGCGTTGGGCCTCAAGCAGGCCCTCCGGATGGTCCAAACCACCCATTTGCACGTCTTCACGTTGGACATGGCCCACGTCAACAAGACCGCGCTTCGGGTCGGGTACCTGGTGTCCGCGGCGGGTTCGGTATCCGGGTGCCTGTTCTTGATGATGGCGTTGGTGGATGTGGTTCAGATCAAGCTCGGGACGCTGTCGTGTGGGAGTTCTCTTAGCTATGGTGCTATTGTTCCTCTCATGGTCTTAGTTCCTTGTGGGCTTTCCATATATGTGTGCTTTGTTTTGCATGCTTTTGCTTGCTAGGGTTTGTGTAATCGTTATTGGGTTGAATTTGAATTATTCAATTTGTTTTTAGTTTATGATTGGACAATACTAATGAAATGAGATCATATTATTTTTCTAAACAACAAATTTTTATGGTTAATGATCCAGTTGTTTGTTTGAGTCATTTGGCGAGCTTGATGTAGCTGGAATGGTTCTGATTTAGAGGTCTCTTGGTCTAAGCATGTTGTAACCTACCATTGAACTTTCTAAAGCCTAAACGAAAGTATTTGTGTGCGGAAGTTCAAAATTGTTTCTAGAATTTTCGTCACTTGAAGAAAATTTAGCAGCATTTGAGAAATTTAGGTTCCAAAATGTTCTAAGTGTGCTTATAGAAGTGCACATGAACTGTTTACATCAATGTAATATCTATAGATCATTATCCCTGCCTTAATTCTATATGAATAGGGTCACCCGACTATGTTACATAAATTTATTGAGAACACACCACATGGCAACATTCACCTCTGTTTTGTTTCTGTACATAACTCATTTCCCTTCTTCTTTTATCTTCGTTTTCTGAATCTTCGAAGTTCCTCTCTCAAAAAACTACACATCAGAAATTGCCAGAGGATGTGAATGGAACACCTACATTTTCCATTGTCCTTGATGGAAGATTCGATAAACTTTCGATTAATACACAGATTTCGGGCTGAGGTGTAACAGCATACAAATCTTGCAATACTCAATTCTTGGATTTTATGACTAGGTCTGTGTTTTTGGATTCTTGCTAGATTTTTTGCTTTCTTGTCAGTGGGTTGGTGAGATGGGATGGGATGAGTGTTGTGGAGAGTTCAGTGGTAGGATTTGTAAATGGTTACTTAAAACCTTCTTTCATCTCCAACTCTGAAAAGGCAATGGAATTATAGTGATAGTCTTTATAATGGAGTGAGTGCTGCAATAGGCAAAATGAGTTCCCTCTAGTGCTTCCTCCACTTTGTCATCGTGGGTTTTACGTGTTAGATACTTGTTTGTCTTGTTCCAGTATATAAATCATGTGGAGGTGTGTGTGTTCATGCATTGCAGTGAAGAAATGGGAACTCCATTGAAGTACATTTTGGTTCTCGTGATCGTTGTGTTTTTGGGGATTGCTAGGTTCAATGAGGTTGATGGGGCTGGTGAATGTGGAAAATCATCCCCTGATATGGAAGCTTTTAAGTTAGCTCCTTGTGCCTCAGCGGCACAGAGTGAGGATGCTGCAGTTTCTAGCAGCTGCTGCCTTCAGGTGAAGAAGTTGGGGCAGAGCCCTAAATGCCTCTGTGCTGTTATGCTTTCCAACACTGCTAAAAGTTCCGGAGTCAACCCAGAAATTGCCATAACCATTCCCAAACGCTGCAACCTTGCTGACCGTCCTGTTGGTTACAAGTGTGGAGGTATGTTAGCTTCTCGCTCTCGTTTCTTTTTATCACCCTCTATTCTTTTCAATTTTGTTTTTCGTTTTTAGTTTTTACCACCTTCACTTGTTAAACTCTGCATTCTGTTTTGCAGCTTATACACTACCTTGACGACCGAATACCGCTATGGATGGCGTTGTGGATATGGAGTATGTCTCACCAGTACGCAAGTCTTGCTTAAGTTGTAGGTTACCTAGTTTATCTGGCTAATAAATTCTGTCATCCAAGCTAATGAATAAATAAAATTAGTGTGTTTTTATCATGTTTGGATAATGAGGTGCTTGTTATTGTAGCTGACGAGGGATTGTGTGTGGATGAATTTGGTTTATAATTTGTGTAGTAAGTTTGTGTTGGTCATCTAACTGTTGGATTGAGTGGCTATGAGGTATGTCTCTTGATTGAGTTAGGGCATATATATATATATATATATATATATATAATACTTGAACACTCAACCTTTTTACTTTTGAAGGCGAGGAAGTAAAACTAGACTACAACCTTTGGTTAGGGGGCGCGCGCACACACATATATATACATACATGTGAATTATTTTAAGGTGCTCCAAAGATGATCAGAAAGAAATGAGACCTTAAAAGGTGTAATTGCGAAAACCAAAAACAACTTTCATTACATAGAACAGAGCTACATGTAGGAAGAGTTTTATATATATTCAACTCTTGTTAAACAAGATCAGCTCATATACTTGACAAGATTGTTTGAAAATTAACCAAAAACACGAAACTGCAAAGGAAAAAAACACGCTCCATGTTACAACCGTGGCTTTGCTTGGCTACCATCCCGTGTTCCCATAACGTAAAAGTAGATCGCTAATGTTACCATCCCTGCAACATGTTCAATGTTCAACAATTAACATTTGAAATGTTTTTATAATTTTAGGGGCGCGACACTAAAATTTCATTGCTATATAATTGTATTATGGAATTTTTTTTAAATATTTAGTGTTAAAAAAAAGTTTGAGGGGGACTTTAAGTCCGTCCCTGGAAGAACTCAATTAAAGACAAACACACACGATTAAAAACCCTAAAACCGATCCTCGAGAGGATTCAACATCGAGATACCTTTGAAGATGGAGAATTTGCATGTTGTAGAGGGTCGCTTTTAGTAATAGAGTGAACCTGCATAAACAGAATCGGATGGATTAAATTTTGGGTATTGCCAAAAGGCCCAAAACAGAGGCACCCTAAACATCACTCGGGGTCTTGAAATTGGAACCGGAGAAAATTTAGTAGAATGTTAACTGTAATTTCATAACAATCATACCCTGCCACCAATTTCCTCTTGAAGCGCTGTTTAAGTTGCTTCCATTCGGATCATCATCTCCCCCATCTTTCTTGATCTAATCAAGTTAGAAAATGTCACATCAGAAATTTATATAGATATATATATAGATATTACCAACGGGCCAATGGTCTAGCGGCATCAGCCTCTTACTTTTCAAAGAGAGGTCAGGGTTCAAGTCTCAAAAGATAGACGTGTGGGTTAGTATCAACTAGGAATATATATATATATATATATATATATATATATATTTAGTCTCATGAACAAATTGAATGGAGATGTGATACTTACTATATGCTGAGAAGTGGTGGTTTTGCTGTTCGGCGAATAAACTTCTTGGCCACCATAGTAGATGGATGAGCTGTAACAGCACGGTTCTACTGTCTCATTCTGATAAACAGAGCTCGAGTTCTTGCCGGAATACATGCCACTACTTTCACCCTTGCCTCTCTGAGAAGCATTGGCTACAAAAGACAAACAAATGGTGGTCACATAACAGTATTGTCCATGTATGCAGAAGCTCTTATTCCACAATTTTAACCCCAAACATCCCATTTGAGTCCCTTCTTTACAAACTAGTCACATACATAACATGTAAAGATGAACACAGACACATTTATTTATTTATTTTTGGTAATTAAACCTCTAAAGTTGGTAGTAGAAATTGTGACTAAAGAAAAGTTTACAAACCTGGTGGTCCATGTTTGGCATTGCCATATTGACTTCCCAAATCCTGGTTTCTCAAGTGAGAAGAGTCTCTTCCTAGCCCCTAAAATCAGAAAATAAATTTTCATAAACATTACGATATTAAAAGTTACATATATGCACGGGATTTAATATGTTACAATTGAACATGCAAAAATATACAAAGATTGTCTAGCTCAAAGCTCAAGATTTGCGATATATAGACAAAATATTTATCCAAAGATTAACAAAAAAAAAAAAAAAAAAAAAAAAAAAAAATGCACAAGTTCGAAATTAATATGTGACAAGTTCAATAACAAAATGCATGGTCAATATAGTACCGTCGATGGTGGGCCAAAAACAGAATCGAAAAGCCCAGTGGAGGAAGAAGATGGCGAGACGTCCTTGGGACCAAAGAGATCCACTGTAAAGGACGAAGATGAACCACCCACTTGTTGCTTCTTTGTGTTTTCCATTTGTATTATGATCACTTTCCTTTTGGCACACAACTAACAATATTAACTACCTTGGATTTTAAAGATCAACTGACTAAGAGACGACCAAAAAAACAGACAAATGGATAAGATTTTGAGAAACACAGATATGGATGAAACAGAGAGGCAGAGACAGAGGAGGCAGAGCACGTGAAGTTCGCAGTATGTTTTACTGTAAAAAAAAAATGAAACGGTCTCTGCTATTTATAGGCCCCCATGTGAAGCCATTCAGAGCTCCCTTACACCCTGTTTCTCTCTCTACATTCAATGTCTCTCTTTCTCTCTCTACACATGGGTTCACCAGTGGCAGCCAAGTGGACATGTTGCCTATTACAAACCCTTCTCACCACGTGTCAACAACCCTTTTCTTCCTTCTCTCTCTGTAGACTCTCCATGTCCAACTTACTAACTTAGAGAGAGAGAGAGAGAGAGAGAGAGAGAGAGAGAGACCATGGATATGGTAGGGTATAATCTTACAAGTGAGAAGATAAGTTAATGGATAAGGACGTCTCTTTCTCTCTCAAGTTGAGCTTATTCGGATATGGTGGTCTTTAACCAAAAAGTTGACAATGGTTATTCCTCTATTTGCCTAGCAAAAAACAGAGCTAGATAGATATAGATACCAGGATCGAATTAATGGAAGATGTTCTTGCTTATATTACTTGCAAGAATCTGAGCATCGATGGAATATTTGATTTTGTAGAAGGAGATATAAACATGTGACCAAAGAATAATCGTTCTTTTTCTTAATTTGGAGGAGCAGAACTAATTTTTAGTTGCTACATTAAAGTCAACATGTCATTCATTTCTCAAAAATAAAATCTAAATTTGAGTTGAAACAATGAGCTTGAGGATATTATTTATGTTTACAGTGTGCTCGAATTAAAATTGATAAAATTTGAAATTTTTTTGATTCAACTTTCTTAATTATTTTTTTAAAATTTTATAAATTCTAATTTCATATAACCGAGCACACTTTTAGCATATTTGAAACTTTTTTTCTGCTTCTCCTCTCTCTTATTTTTATACCAGGAGGCTGAAAGGTAAAAGATTGGATTGACATGCTTACAAAATCATCTCATACATTCTATCACAGCAATGATATAAAAACGGCACCTGTCATTCAAATAAGAACAATAATATGACCAATAATTAAATTATTCTATGTGAATGAAAATTGAGGTTTTGATAACATATATTTAATGATAAAAACTGGCATGATGATAACGAAAGTGTCACTCATTTGAAAGGAATCATATCTTTCTAAATAGAGTGGCTGAAATCACCCCTAAAATGGTGCAAGTTGTCTAATGGAGAGACTTTGGCCTCTTCATTTGAATGATTGGTTCCTTCGTTTAGTCAATATTATTATTATTATTTAAATTCTCATATAGATTAAATTAAAAGAATACTACTATCATTTTGTTAAATTGGGTGACATATAACTTTTCCTTTTTGAAAGAGGTGAGAGTTACGCGCACACAGAGAGGCACATTTACATTTTCACAATTTCTCTCACACACACATGTATTGCTTACATATTTGATACTATCAATTTAGGGACTGCAACTGGCAAAGTTGGGTTGGGTTTGACTAAGTTTTATTTTGTTTTGTTAAAAAAATTCGTAATATTAATTTTGTTTTTACTTTGAAACGAGTTTGTAATTGGTATATTATTTTTTTTCCTTTTTTGATAGACAAAGTACTACTGTTCGCATAGTTGGTTAAATTACGGAACCGGGCAAATTATGCCACTTTTATTATTTAGTACAAATTTTTTTAGCCTAATGTGATCAAATTAGACTGATAAATAAGTTGGCCTGACTTTTAAATTACAAACAAGTAAATATTAATATATTAAATACACTTTACGCAAAGTAACAAGAGCCTTAAAAATATTAAATATATATTATATATATATAATTTTTAAAGGTACATATCTAAATGGGACTGGGTCATTATTAAATCCGCCTCCGTCCCAAGCTCACTTCAGATTTTCAATGATTTTACCATACTTCTTCCAAACCCAATTAGAGGCTACCAAATTCACCCGTCAGGGACGGAGTGGGAGCAAAAACCCGCCGAGTGAGAAGAAATTGTCATCCTAATGTATTTATGTGTATATGAAATTATAAATCATTATGATGTGTTTCTAGAAGAGTGGCATTATAAGTAAAATGGTGATGATATTTTAATCGGGTCGACTAATGGGGTTCAATTTCTTATGATGATCCATTTTGACATGTCGGCACCAATCACATTATAGTAGTCCATTGCTATATTTGTATAAATAATATTATAAGAAAACACTGTTCTTGTGGGTATAGCAATACCACTATACCAGCTGTCAATTCCACATTATTATTATAAAATCTTACAAGAAAATTAAAAGGGACCAACTGAAAGTTAATTAAAATAAAAAAAAACAAACTTGTAAGACAAGGATGTTTGTAAGGGACAGCTCAATTTGGCTAGTACAAACCTTTTTTTATTTTTATTTTTTTTCCCCAGAAAGTATCAATATTCATCATTTAAAGGTCATTGCAACATGATTTGAGTAATTTATTTTTGAGAATTAAAATAAAAATATTGTACAAAAGTAAATTTATTTTTGAAAGCTCAGTTAAAAAATACAGTTTTTAAATAATCATCTTTTATACTTATTTAAAAATAATTTTTATTTTTATTTTTTTAAGTTATCTGCTTTTAGAAAATTGAATTAAGAAACTCTAAAAGTTTTTAAATTGAATAGTTAAAAAAATGAAATATGATATAAAGATTGGAATGAATAAATATGATTTGCTAGTAGATGACATTAAGGTTAAGCTATCGTGATATGCTTAATATATATACGGAGTTGATATTTGCACTCCAAAAAAATATTAGGCACTTCATCTTTATTCCCATATTAATAAAATTACAAAAATATTCTTAAACCCCACTTAAGCTTAGTTTATTTTGACGTAAAATATTTTTTTTAGAAAATATATATATTTTTTGGGTAAAATATTCTTTTACTTTTATTTTGTCGGTGTTTGACAAATCCATCTGGTAGTGGTGGAACATATTAAATAACTTGTCCAAAATTGATGAATCATTTACTTTTGTTAAATTTTAGTGATAATTTATATATATATTTTTTTATAAATATTTTACGACAACATAATACTAAAAAATAACGTCCAATCAAATGGAGCCTTACTCTTTATCTACTCACCCATAACCGTCTTTTATCTACTACTTCTCCACCATCACACTAAACTGGATCATTAGAAAATCTACATGTGTGTAATGCAAAAAGTAAAAACTATAGCCTGGTTTAGCAAAATCAAATTCATGACAAAAACCAAAAAAGATCCCGAATGGATTGAAGACAAGTTTGAGAGGTGTCATCCCTGTCCGCGGTGGAAGAATGTTTCACAAAAAATCTTTGCCAACCACCCAGCCTTAGCGATAGGGAAATACATGGGCTACAACCACATCTTGTCACAACCGCCTATGGCGACCACTGTCGCAACCTCCAAGGCTCCACCGCCTTAGTGCTCTTGTGATCTTCTCAGCGAGTCAACTCGATCAATGCATTTGTATCCATTCGAAGGGATGAAATTAAGATTTTGCTACCATAAGTTCATAACTCATCCAAAAAATTCGTGAAAGTTGAGCTTAAATCAAAGCTTTCGAAGCTGAGTTATATTATCACGTTTGAGGATGATTGCAGGAAAGCAGTATTACGAGGAAGAAGTGGTGGACTACGAACACAACAATAATGCTACTTCAGTGAATTCAATGATTTGATCTTGCTAATATTTTGGGCTATAGTTTTTACCTTCGTTTCAATTACACACACGGTAGATTTTTTAATGATCCAGTCTGGTGTCGGCTTTGTGGATGAAAAGAGACCAGAAATAGAAGTCGATAGAGATACAATCTGGTTTAGGGTTACTTTTGTCATTTTATTAATATAAGAATTAAAGTGGAGCACCTAAGGACTTTGTGGGAGCGCCAATATCAGCTCCCTATGTATAATCATGATTGATATGTTTAATATGTAATCATGGATATATTGAGCATCCTGTGTTCAAATTTTTTAAAAATTTGACGTGGTAACACATACTTCTTGTTGTTTATTAAAAGAATTATTTTCATGATTATTGATGGAATCAAGATAAGATCATTGTCTACATTGATAAGATACTTGTTATTTTATATAGAGTGATTTGTTTGTATTTTTCAATATTAAATATTGACAAGAAGATTGTTAAAAAGATCTAGATGAAGATGATCTCTTCTTGATGAGGTTCTCACTAAAGGATTGAAACGATGAATCTAGTTAATTTTGTGTAGGATGATTACCAATTTAATTAAGAGAGTGTCTTACCGAATATGCTTTGCTATGACATAAAGTTAATTTCATGATATGCTTTATATGTAATCATGGACAAGTTTGGGTGTGTTAATTAATTACGTGTACTGCACCACGGCTTTATATAGAAAACTAAATCTCAATTAAAGGAAGATTTGCTATTATACTATGTTTGACACTTCCTAACCATAGAACATTCGAGTTTTTATAATATAATTGTTTATTAACAAATTTGTAAAGAGTATGGTGAGCTCATTTATCAGCTCAAACAGTCGACATGGATGCGCATTTCTTTCACTCAACCACTTCTTTGAAATGAACACGGCTTTTGTAACGGTGCCGACTAATTGAGTGTTTCATAAAGTATTATCGGGCTTACATCACAACAATTATCGTGAATCTCATAATTTTGGGAGACACTCAACACTCAATTGTGGGATGTTATCATTTCTAGAGCCAGAAAGTGCTAGGAACAATCACAACTATCCGATTTCCTAGACTATGTGACATGGGTCTCGCTTGCACTCTCTTAGAATAGTCGCGCAGTCACAACCGTCCAACCAAGTCACTCTATCATTCAATCTTCTAATTTGTGGGTCATACGATTGTATACTATAATACTACTAAATATAATATTTATATATATATAGTTCTAATCTCTTGCTTTCTATAAAGTTAAAAAATTAATCCACACTTTCTTTATATATATATATATATATGTATGTGTATTTTCTTTCTTTGATTGAATTACACAAGCCTTAGATGGTTCACTTGAGAAAAGATAAAGAGAGATTATTTGTTTTATATCTTTGAATACAAGGTAAGAAAATTCAACAAGAGAATTTGTGCCAAACGCTAGTTTGGGAACACGGAGACGTCTTAAAATTGAAATAGAAAGAAATTTTGTTCAAACTTTAAATGAAATTTTTTTCCAATTTCAATTCTAATGTATCAAATTAATATTCCAAAATACAACATTACACTATATTTGTTGGTAAATTTACAAAAATTTACCATACTAGAGAAGTATATTTATTTGAATTATAGT